ATGTGAAATTGAAATATTATGGAGTGGGGTGAAATTCTGATTGGCTAATTTGAATTTCACATATGTAAATTTGAATTTCACATATGGGGCATGGACTATAGAAAAGGGGATAACTACCAAAATCGTGATTTTGAGTTAATGCCACTTCTATGCGTAATTTGCTACAAGGATTAATTTTAGCTTAGAAACCATACCCACTTTACTTAATAAAATTTCGAGATATTTTCCATTTAATTTTTTAAAAACAATAGTAAATTACTTGAAATGCAGATCTTTTTTTTCGATTTTCTCAAAATCGTGATTTTGCAGCTATCCCCTTTTCTATAGTCCATGCCCCATATGTGAATTGCGAATTCACATAATTTCATTTTCACGTACAACAATACTAAATCCTTGCAAGCATATTTAGATAAAGAAAGGATTATTTATTTATTTTTAGAGAACTATTGTTTATTTCTAAAAAAAAAAAAAGAATTGAAGAAAATTATTATTTTGCATTTGATTATGTTTTTATTTATTGAATGTAATTAAGATCAATGACATAAAATTCATACTAATATCACTATGTAATATGTAAGTCAATAAAAATAATAAAAATAAAAATTATTATCATGTCAATATATAATATTAACACACTTATCACTTTGGAATAATTCTATTATTTATTTACTTGATCTAACTCTAAAGTCATCTATCTCTTAGGTGATAAATTAGTTAAAATTATATTATTTTGTTCCAGAGTACTGTTTCTTGTTTTATTTATTACTACATTATTTATAAAATCTATATTTTTAAGATTATTGTTGATTATTTTATTTAAGGGTATTAAAATATTGCATAATTTTATTATCTCTGTGGTTGTTTCTTGTCTATTTGTTGACATCACCAAGGGAGAATCAAATGACTTAATTAAACACATTCTGTAAAAAGGTAGCAATTTATAATCCATAAGATAAATATCCAGTTTAGTATTGTTGTATGTGAAATTGAAATTATGTTTAAAATTTCATTTAGTTTATATTCCAACTTCTTTGAATCATCAAAGCTTTTGATAAAATGCTCGTAATTACTTAAACTGACTTTTGAAAATTTCCCAAGATAGATTTTATCATTTTCTATATGTTCTAGATGACTTGCAGTATCTTTTATATAGGGACCATTACTAATTTCAATGTATAGAAATTCATAATTAAATGAATAAGCTACATTTTCTTTATAAAATACACCATCTGGATATTTAGTAGGACCATATTTTCCAGCATTTTGTTTTTTCGTTGCTTCTGAAAGATGCCCACAATGTTATAAAAGATAAAATCCACAATCTGATGGGAATAAGATCTTTCATTGATTGTTTCTGATTGTTCTTGATATGATTTCATTTTCCAAACAATTTGGAATTGTGTCAAAAAGTAATTAAAATGCAATAAAATATTCAATCTTCATCTATTCTATCTGGAATAGTAATTGATCCATATAAAATATAATTATGAACGAAAGCATTTTCTTGATTTGTTAAACACATTGAATCATGCCATTCAATATATGTAAAACTACCCAAATATTCATTCTTTATAATTATTTGATATAACTTTTGATTATATAATCCTATATGATTTATCTCAAGAATGCCATCTGATATCAAATCATTTGGGGTTAACTTAATTTTATCTATTACATTGATAATGAGACATGATGTTTTTGACATGTTAAAAGTTCCACTTATCTAATATAAAAAACGTTAATATAGTTAATATTTTATTAATAAATAGGATTCCATAAAATTCCTATATAGGTAAGCAAGAAAAAAAATTTTTTAACCTTTCTTTTCATCAGATTCAACAAATGACAAATCAACAATTTCTTCAGTATATGTCGGGTCTTCACTATTATTATTGTCATCTTCCTCTTTTCCATCACTGTCAAAGTTGTATATGTATAACTATTTGACATAATATATGAAGCCAGTATGTAAATTTATCAAAAACAAAACAATTCTATCTATTTGAAAATATAATTTGCTTACACTTTCTTGTAGTGGTATCCTTTGTTTTGGGTACCTCACATTACTAAGGAGCAATCAAGGTTAATGAAACTGTCAAACATATAAATAAACTAGAGTAATGACAAGTGGTGGGCAATAACCACCACCATCCTTAAAACACTTTCAAATTCTTCATGATTTTGTTTACTTCTTTTTCTCATTGTTTTAGAAGTAGACATTTTTGAGAAAAGAAGTTTGTTATTTGATCAACGTGTACACATTAATTATTTATCCTATTGGTTTTTTTTTGGGAGGACTGACACAAATTGGTTGATTTTTTTTTTTTTTTTTGGAAAAACATTAAAACTAATTTATTTTTTGACAGTTCAAGGTGACAAAACATGAGTGTTGTTGTTTGGTTTGGGTCTCCTAAAGAAACGTGTTAATAACTAACCAGAGGTACTTTTTTTTATTTGTATTGATTGATATTTTTATTTTAGCTAATAAATATTTTAATTGGAAATCAAAACAAATCAAAACACAGAGCAGATCTTGCTTATACTTGCCGCCCATTCTCAAATCCTTAAATCTCATCCCATCCCATCCCATCCAACCCCAACCCAATCCCATATTCCAACCCATGTCCCATATTCCATATCCCATTGATAGAATTAACAAAATATATGTATATTTATTAATAAAAAATTTTATCATTTATAAAAATTATTAAAACCATAAAAACAATTAAAAAGAGAAATAATTCTGTAATTACAACAGAAAACAATCATTAATCAAAATTATGATTATCTAACAATTAATCAATGTCAAAATTTGTATCTCCGTGATCAATATCATTTTCTTCATAAATTTCATTTGATAAAATATTATTATTAGACAATAAACTTGAATTCAAATCAATGCTTTCAGTAATAATTAAATGGCTATCATTAACACCATCCAAATTTATAACCTCTTCATCACAATTATCATCAAGATGACTAACATCTTCAAGATTATCATCTTGTCCAAAAAGATCATTTCCATTGGTAATTGATAAAGCAATTCGGTTAAATGTTTCATCAAGTCCTTCAACTGAAATTTCCAATTTGAATTATTATTTAATTGTATGACAAAAATATGATTGGTTAATTCGAGATGGGGTATGGGGTGTGGGTTGGGATATGGGATATGGGGTGTGGGGTGTGGGGTGGGATATGGGATGGGGATTGGGGGGATTTTACTAACCTCAAAGCCCCACCCACCCATACCCAATGGGATTGGGGATTGTCCCATATCCCTTAGTATGGGTGGCAAGTATAGTCTAAATTGCAAACAAGCTGAATATGCTGTCAAAAAATATAAATCACATCGCAGCATCCCTAATTCAATACTCTCAGACTTGGAAATATTAAATTGATTTTAATAAATTTAATGTTCTATTTTAGTATGATCTGCAATAAAAAATTTGGCCATATTACCATAAAGTCTGGGAAGATAGCATCCCCTTTTTACATATGTGTATCATTTTTTTTATATTGATGCTCAGTTGTTTTAAAGTAGGGGGTGCTATCTTTCCAGACTTTACAGTATAGTTGGAGTTGATGATTTATTGTGACACACACTGTAGCTCTTGAAGTCCAGAGAAGTGAAACATATTGATTACAACTTTTGTTAATATTTTATGAAGGTGAAGGAATAAGACCAGGCTTCCCTAACAACGCTTTTGAATTTTACATTGAATTATCATACAAGTGTATAGATGCTGATCCAGATAATGTCAAGAAATTCACAAGTTTCATATGATGATTATTTAATTAAATTAAAAAACTGTGATATTTGTAATATGAATTCTAAAGAACAGCTTGATAAATTAAATTCTATTAGAAAAACACATGACAAATGGAATTCGATTACAACAACAGAACATCCAAATATTGTTCTACAAAAACTCATTGATATTTCTCAACCTGTTAATTCCAATTTTTTATAGATCCTCAAGTTGTAATCAAATTTTTATTGCTTTAATTGACGAAAATTAGAAATATATGACAAATATTTTTTATATTCATTAGATTCAAAAAATTTAAAAATTTTTTTTTTCAAAGAATTTTTCTCAAGATGTAATTCATGTCACTGGTTATACAAAATAAATAATAAATTTTTCTTTAAATCAAAGACCCGATTTATTTAATCTGCAAAAAAAAAAAAAACAAATATAATAATTAATTTCTTAAAGGAAATTTAGAAAATTTACCTAATTTAATAATCGTTAGTTTTCTTGACTAATTTATAGATTTCAAACTCTTCTAAAAAATGTATGCTGTTGATCTGATTTGTAAGATTCAAATTATATTTATAAGCATTATCATCAGAATCACCATAATATAAGTAACGACAATAAGGATTATTATCGATACTGTTACATAATCCCAAATCACCAAAATTTATAGAAAATCCACAAAATTCCATATCATCTACGATGAAATTAAAATTTTGTCGATCATGATATATTGCAAATTCAGGATCTTTGACTTTACTCAAGATTGAAAAGGCTGCTTGCTTTTCATCAATCTTAAAAATAAAACTTTCATCAGTTTTAATCCAATATTCATCATTTGGAGCTTTTTCTTTTATATTCCAACAAACTGGATTATAGCCCCCAACCAGCTCGCCTGTTTCTTTAATTTTCATGATGACTATAGTTTGTTCAATATTATAACATTTATCCTCAAACACTGATCTAGTACATCCATCTTGACTTCCACATTGAACCAACTTAAATTCATAACGTGGTTCATATATGTCGTACGTTTCATCAATCCAACTAGAAATTAGAATCTTTATTTCTAAATTTAATAATTTTCCTTTTGTTCTTGGATATTTTTGAAGAATTAATCTTGGTTGCCATTTATTAGTAATATGATATTGAAGAAGTTCTTCATATATTTTCTTATCAATTATTGCTTTATAAGGTTTGATTTTTTCATGAAAATCAGATGATGGTATCCCATAAAATCTAATAATTGGAACAATATCATCCAATAAAGTTTTGAATGCAGTGATGTCATCTTTATTCCATTCTGAAATATTTTTTTCATCCAAATTTTCAAATTGTCCCACTCCCCATTGAATAATGTATTCCCAAGTATCTATTTCCTCTACTTCTAAATCATCTCTACTCAATATAGAGATAAGCATTGATTTTTCAAATAAAGAAATGTCATCAGATTTTAAAAACAATACCGGATTATTGTGAAACACTTCCTTACAATATTCTTGAAGTAAACGGAATGATTGGTGTTTAGATGATATTTGATTAAGATGTACTAAATTATGTTGAATCCATTCTTTTTCATCTTTGAATAAATGATTTTGCAAATTGTCAATTAGTTCATTAAAATCTAGTTCATCACATGCTTCAAGAAGTTCAAGTATTTCAAATGAATTCAAATTATCAATATTGACAATTCCATTGTAAATGTATCTTTTAAAAATAAATAAATGAACGAACAGAACAAAATAAAAATAAAATAAAAAATTTTAGAGTATTGATATGTATATATTGTTTAGTTATTTAAAATAAAATGATTATTATATAATAATGAATTTAGTTAATTAATTAACAAAATAAATTATTCTTACGTTAAAAGAACTTCAAATACTTTTGGAGAAATGTTTTCTTTTTCAAATATAATAATACCATCTTCAGATCGTTTTACCCAATTGTTTGATAAAGCTACTTTAAAATAAGAAGATCTTGCTTTCAAAATATTGGAATGAGCTTTAAAGGTTTTAAAATCTTGTTCTACTCCAACTTTAATTTCTACATCATAATAGTCGGATTCATATAATAATTTTGTTAAATCATTGACAAGTTTGCTAATATGTTTCAGCGGCAAAGTATTCTTGTTGGCCTTTGTAATTTTGTTGATTAGCATGTTTAAATTTTCCAAGGACGAAAAGCCGTTATAGTTATACATCTTGAAAAATTTTTTTTTTGAAAAAAAAAAATTTTAGGAGTCAAGAAGTATATATTTAAGGGGGGAAGGGAGAAAAAATTTTTTATCAATCTTTTCATATGTCACGTGCACTCAATTATTTTATAAATACAATTTTTTTAATAATGATAATAATTAACCAAACATCCATAAAATAATTATACAACCATGAATTGTATTAATAAATAATAAAATGCAAGCATGCAAAACTTTAACATAAACAAAAAAATCAACAAATGAATGAATGAATGAATGAATAAATAAATAGATAAATAAATAAGGCCCCAATCATTTCTTTTTGTCATCGGAAAATCCTTCAGGCGGACCATCATATGCTGGTGGTGCATCATCGGGAAGTTGAGAAGCTACGTAGAAACCACCAGTAAATTGACCTTGTTGTTGACCTTCTCCTTGTGGAGGTTGTTGTTGTGGAGGTGGTGGAATGGGCCCATAATTCATTTGTTGCTGTTGTTGGAATCCATATGGTATTGATTGAGCAGGATGAGGACCTTGACCGTAATAAGATTGTTGAGGTTGATAAAAAGGCTGTTGATAAAATTGTTGACCACCATACATGGTATTTTGATGCAAAGGTGGAGAAGATACATTTCCGAAACCTTGTTGAAATTGAGGTCCTATAGTTTGGAGAGAGTTTTGATTTTCTGATTGTGGATTTGATGAAGGTGGCGAATTGCTAGTTGCAGAACTAGGAGACAAATCATTACTAGATGTTGATAAAGTTTTATTTGTAAGACTACGATTAAGTATTGGAGATGATAATTCTGGAATTTGTGAAGAGGTTATATTTAAATTAGATAGTTGATTTTTTATTCCAGAAATATCATCTTCTAGTTTATTAATCTTCTTATCTTTCTCTTCAGTTGTAGAAGATTTGGATTTCAATGCATCCTCCAAATCTTTTACCAATTTGGTTAATTTTTCTTTTTCAGTTACAACACTATTGACATCACCTTGAAGTTTAGCAATAAGTGCATCTCGTTCACTTAGAGCAACTTCATATTCATGTTTTTCAGTAATTATATTGTTGTATTGTTTTAACTGTGAATCATACTGTTTCCTTTGAGCACCTAATGAAATACTCAATTGATTAATTTGTTCTTCGT